GCATTCCTAAAAGTACAAAAGTATAAAGCAACTGCCCAAAATATATTATCAATTCACAGTTCTCTCGTTAATTGAAATTAATGCTTAAGCTAATAGTCATCCCAAATGTGATCTTTATTTTTGTCAATATCCGCAGACCAATCAATTGAATATTGATTAATACGTATGTAATTGGTCGAACACTACTTGAAAATGAAAACAGCTCTTCTGCTCAAAAATAAATGTTCCAAATGTTCCTATAAATTCTGGCTCCAACTGGACCAGTTGTATCTGTTTTTAATGTCGCACAGTAATTCAATACGAAAATTGTGTAGTTCAAGATGAAAATTAATTTACCTTCTTTCCCAGTGAGAAAGATAACCACTTATCAATCCGCCCTAGCTTTCCAGAGAGGAAGCTGCGATGATAGAATGAGGAGAGAAATCTTGGAAACCTGCGAGCTAAGAAATGCATAAATTTTCTTCTTGGCAACCAATTTTCCCACGTCCTTTTCATCTCTTCTCTGGTCATGCCAGGCTCATATGGATTCATCATTGGGGCAAACAAGGCTGCACCTGTAAATTCAGTCAAGATTTCTCATAAATCTATTTATGCCTGGTAAGTTCTTTATGCATTTTTATAAGAAAAAGAAAATTACAATGCACAGACACATAAAGAGATAACAATTAGTAGGCCTAACTTGCTCATAAAACCTCTATCGCGAGATATAAAGGAACAACATTTTCACAATTAGTAGGTATGTAAACAAGGCGGGTACCTATAAATTCGGTCAAGATTTCACATAATTACGTCTGGTAAATTTTTAATGCATTTTCATAATGAAAAGAAAAGTACAATGCACATGCATGGAAAGAGATAACAATCAGTAGTTATAGGTTGGTCCTAAAACTTCTATTGAAAAGCACTGGAAGAGAAGTCTGAAGAAGAATATTTATATATTAGGCGTAAGCGTAGAAGTTTCAACAATACATTTAGATTGGTATCTCCAGGTGTTTTCTCAATAGGATTATGCTATGAAGCCTCCAAAAAGTCACCATAGAATTTTTATAGAAGAAATGTTTACATACCTGCAACTTTGTTGGGGATGTACTTAAGCGCTGCCCAAGCATGCATGCTTCCACCTGAGTGGGCCAGCACCCAGAACTTGTCACTAATGCCGACGGCGTCAGCTAGGTGTAACATATCAAATGCTGATGAGTTGAGATTCCTGCTGGGATGAGGATCACTCTCCCCAAAACCAGGAAGATCGTATGTGACAAAGCGAACACCAAAATTTTCAAGCAATGACATCTTGATTCCAGGTATGCCTTTCAAAATGAAAAAGAAAAAGAGGTTTCAATAAACAATATTCTTTCTTGCCAAGGGCATGAACAGCAATTCCATAGTCTCTGCTTTGACTTTACAAATTCTGCAATTATGGGAAATTATATATTCACCTGCAAGTCGAGATGAAAGGAAAGAATGTGGACTAATTATAGAAAATCTAGCTCTGTCAGCTGGGACACCTTGCTCAAGATAAGCCATGTGTCTCCCATCTGGAAGCAGTATACGGGTAGCATTTGGAGGGTGTATTCTCACTTTCTTCACAGGCGGGACCAAGCTGCCATCTTTGGTATTTACATTCATAGCTGCAAATGTTTAAAATGTATAAAGACGCCTATATTACCCCCAAAAAAACAAAAAATAAGAAGAATGAATGTGCAATCAACAATAAAAAAAGCTACGCAGAAAGAAAAAATTTGAATAGTTGAGAACATACATCCTAGGAATTAGGATACAACCAGGAAGTCAAGAACATTAGAAAACTTTTAAAGAAAAGCTCCACAAGCAGACAGATTGATAAGCCCCCTTTGCGCTTTACCTATGTTCGGAAGAGAGTCCGTGAGAAGGGTGCTGCAAGAGCAGGAGAGGGAAGTACGGCTGCGGTGCAGGAGAGCACTTCTTAGGACGGTGGAGACGAGAAGGGCTGAGTTGGCATGTTGGAGGATTCTGGTGTTTGGGGTGAACGGGAAAACGGTTAGAGATAGGAGGGAATAGAATAAATAGTATAGAGAAGGGATTAGAAGGGATTCATTCATTCATGCTCTAAAACTTTTTAGATAAGCTTAGCTAGGGAGTGCAAGGGGTCACTCGAACACCCCAATATCCGCCATTGTAATTCAGGTACCACCATTAATAACAGTGATTGTGATTGTTTGCTAGCTAATCTTGAAGAACTAATCCTCTAATCTGTTACCGCATTGTGAGCTTATCACAGATCAATATAAATATCAAGAAGTCTTCAAGTCCTCAACACTAATGGCATTCACCTGGTTCACATTTATATCCGGTTCATTCATATTCTGTGCCACACATTTTTAATTTTCAACCTTTTCAAGCAGATTTCTAACACACTCCCAAGCGTCTGATATTGTCATATACATTCTTAGTGAATAGCTAAATTTCCAAGAGTACATTAGTACTGTAAGTTGTTACCGTACCTCCAGAGACATAAGAATTTAGAAACAATTTATGGTGTTCAATTATATACACTAGGGGAAAAAAAAAAAAAAAACTAGATAATCTAATTTCTAACTGAAGCAAACAATTATGACATATTTCTTTCTAACTAAAAGGACATAAATACAGAATCAGAAAACCTCCATAGTCCAATGAATCAGCAATGTACCTGCCAATGCGAGAATGAAAACGAAGAATACCACTGGCCAGGCGTGAGCCGGATCGCGATCCTCGGGCAAGAACTCGTTGAAGTATCTCAATTTCGCCGAAGCTCTTGCGCACGGCTTTTGAAGCTTCCTCACGATGTAGGAATCCTCAGTCAGAAAGCTCTGCTGCACAATGTCCCTACATCCTCTCCCCAATTCCATCAGAATCTCCCCCCACGCCATCGCGAAACCCCTCATCTGCTCCTTCAAGCTCTCCGACGGCTCCGATTTGTCGTCCCGCGCCTCTTCTGAGACGTAATCGGCCGTTATCGTCGCCGCCTCCGCCTCGAACGCCGGCATAGAGACCATGATCGGATCGGCGACATACCGAATTCCGGTGTCCTCCACGAGGCTCGCCAGCTCGTCCCTCCACGTGTTCGATCCTCTCACTTCCGCCATTTTCGACTCCGAGAGCTTCCACTTGATCGCTCAGCGACACCAATACCAAGTACCAACCATGTGAGCTGTTACCTAATGCCTATATCCATAGAGAGAGAAAGCGGAGGAGAGAGAAAGAAAGAAGTAATAATGTCAAAAAGCAAAATAACAACCAAACAGAGCTGAAACCTGTAAACTTTTCAAGCGTGACATTGAAGCTAACTTTTGTTTATTCTATCGACCGACCACAATTCAAAAGAATCGAACCAAACAAAAGCAGTAACAAACAAATAGAAAATCAAAAAGCAAAAAGCGAAAATCACCTCTAGAATTCTCCAAACTCCACTTTTCCGGCACTGAAACCATTGGTTTGATTCGTCTGAAAATCTGATTCTGATCCGAATAGTTTTCTGAATAAAAAACCTTTTTTTTTTCTCAGTACAAATTAACTGGTTCCGCCTTTGCTTGCTCTTACCGAAGCTTTTTGCCTTTTTCTTTCTTTTCCTCTTTATCTTTGTTTCACCGATTTGATTGAGACTAGAAGACGAGCCTGAGCCGTCGATGAGATCACTTTTTGGATTGGACGGTGTGGATTTTGCCACGCCGTACTGTTAACTGCTGGCAACCGGTTTGGCCGGTGCGAGTCGGGCGGTGTCCACCTGTAATTGCCGGTTAGTTGAGGGGAGTGACGTGTACGTCGTCGTCTCGGCTGCTGCAGTGGAGGTGGAGCATGTGCGCGTGATGTGCGGTGGACGCACGTGGCTGAAGAATGTTCTTTCGTACTCGTTTAGTCGTTTTTTAACTGGAAACATTAATCATATATATATATATATATATATAGGCATAGGCTAGGATCCGTCGACAGACCAATTCTTCCGAAGGGGAGTTGAAGAACAGATGTTGCAGCGCCAACTTGCAGGGAAAAAGGAGGACCACAGCTAAGCATAACCGACTATTACCGGAAGTTAGGATACTGTTCACACGTAGTAAAGATGTAATAAAAAAGTATAACAGTGTTGAAGGCGACATTTCATGGGTAAAAAGGAAATTTAAAAATCCTATAAAATTATTAATTTCTTGTGACTGAACGACAAGATAATATTAAGACATTTATAATGGAACAGTCTGGCATCTGTAACATGTCAATGAACAGTGCATTAAATCTGGTTTTTTAGTTAGGGCAAATTACATATTTAATCTCGAATTATAAGTCTCGTCACAAAAATACCTCTCCAAACTTAGGACTTGTTCTTTTAGAGTTTAACTTGAGTATAATTCTTGAGTTGAATTTGAGTTATAATTTGAGTTGAACTTGTAACTTGAGTTTGTGTTTGGTTGTGTACATTTGAGTTATAGTTTGAGATAAGAATCTTTTTGAATTTGTGTTTGAGTGAGTCAAAATTTGAATTTGTATTTAGATAGTATTTTAATAAAAACTCAGTGCTGATGAAAAATTTTAATAGGGTATATGGGTCGGGTTTTATTCGTCTTTTCGTTATCAACGCATAGAAAAAAAATCATCTCAATCAGAATTAAAACGAAAAAGTTATAGCATTTTTAAGAATAAAAAAAATATTGTTCATTAATTTGAGTTCGAGTTTCTGAACTCGAGTTGAAGGAGAAACTTGAACTCGAGTTTTAGTCTTAAACTCGAGTTTAAACTTAAAAGAACATGAACTCGAATAAAATTTATAACTCGAGTTGCATTTTTTTGAATTTTTCACTCAAAAAAATAAGCCCTTAATTTTTTAACATTTGTTCACCACAAATTTGTAGTTAGTACATTATTATGCATGTTTGAGCAATCCTGAGCATCACGTACATAATTAGACCACACTCGCAGAATCTGAGTATATTATGAATTTGGTAAATTAATTCGAATTCTCAAAATAAATAGGGGATTAAAAATTTCGTTACAGTTTTTCAACGTAAAAAACCTATAACCTCATGTGGTTCATTAATTCTAATTGTAGCCATTTAAATCATTTTGATTTGAACTGTGAAATTTGAAATTTTGGTTTGAATTGCAGTCCATATTAAAGTTTGGACATGTAGTTAAAATTACAAATATAAAAAGTGAATAGAATCTAAATTTATGTTTTAATATGTGTTAAAAATGTAAATTTGGCAGAAAATGTGTGAAAAAAGAAAAATGGAAATGAGAAATAATTTACACTATGAAAAATGGTTTTGATTTTACGAATTTAAGGAAAGGTTTTCAAATTCAAATTTTAACTTCATTTAGTTTGTCTGAATTCTTGTCATTTGAATGATTTCATTTAAACAAAAATTTAATTGTGGTGATTAGAACTGATTGTCATTTAAATATGCTGATAATTTTGTTATGAATGGTAATTCGTAATAAAACAACACAAATATGTGTTTGTTTCTTTCGCTCAAAAAAAAAAAAAAGAAAAGAGAGTTTTGATGGAGTGTAAAATAATTTAAAATTTTAGTGGCACGACACGAATCTTACAGAAACTCAATTTTCAGGCTTGAATTACGTAGGCTATATGGATCTTAATTTGTTTATTTTTTTTGCTCTGAACACACAGAAAGAAGAATCGTTTCAATCACAGTTGAAACAAAGAGCTTATAGTATTTTAAAGCATGAATTTTTGTAGAGATAGAAGAGGAAAAAAAAAACAGCAAACAAATGTGTGTTACTGGGTAAAAAATTAGGCGTTACTATCGCTCAACTAAATGTTATTGTCTATTTGATAACCTATTTACCACTAACACAAGTAACGTACCATATCATTACTAATCTATTAATTTAAAATATGGAGATCAATCTGGATAATCCTAATTGAGTGAATGTTTTGGTCTGACAAATAATGTAGGTAGAAGCACTATATGTATATATACATATATATGTATTTTGACTTGAGGTGATTTGTGAAATTACTGCTAATCCATAAGTTGAAATTACATATATATGTATATATATATATTCTTTTTTTAAAAGATTCATATATAATTAAGCAATAATACTTAAAATTTAGGATTAATTTCACTTTTATCCCATAAATTAAGCAACTTGTCTTATTGTGGACGTTAAAAATCACACCGCGGAACTATAAAATTTGTCCTATTTTCTGTCACCAAATTGTTAAATATTGATAGAATAAATCGTGACCATTTCAACATGTTGGATCTATATTTGTTTTCAAGATATATTTTGGAGGAAAAAATCTATGAATTTTATTTGTCCAATACGTAAGTTTAACTAATATTTTTTTCAACCTTTGTGTAACACTAGTTTACCAAACGCGCTTCGTGCATGCATGAAATTCTATTAAAAAAATCGATTTCATATATAGTAAAATTCTTTTAGATGATTCAAGTTTTAACTAACAAATTAATATCAAAATAAAATTATTTTTAGATGATTCAAGTTAAAAGTACTTAAAATGGTGATTACATTAACTTATTTTAAGTAAAGGGTAAATTTGAGAATAGTTATTTCATGAGTAGTTTCCTTTTCCAATATAAAAAAATATTTAGAAAGAAATTAATTATAATGTACATATGAGAAGTAGAAAAATATTTGCTTAAGAGTGTTTTCAAAAAAATTATTTCAGTGTAAAAATGAACAGCAAATTAGTTAAACTCAAATCTAACATATATAGAGGATTGTAATAAAAATATTTGAGTAGGGATATATTTGTAAAAAAAATATTTGAATTGAGAAATTAGAAAAATAATAATTTTATGAAATGGAAAAAAAAATCAATGAAAGACAAGAATGTAAATAAAAAATAAGTAAGGGCCAAGAAACAAAATAAAAAAAAAGCAAAAAAAAGAAGACTTTTATATTTATAAAAGATATTTGAATTGAGAAATTAGAAAAAGAAAAAATAATTTATTGTGCGTTTGGAGTAATAATCTATGCCATGATTCGGATCATGGTTCGTAGCTCGTTATAATGTTTTCTCTCATAAAAATACACGTAAATTGAGAATAATTTTAAATCATGATTCTGAATTCATGAACCAAACATCATCTTAATGATGCAGAAGAAACATCAATAAAGAAAAAGCGTTATGGTTTTTAAAATATTTAAAGCAGTTTTTAGTATTTAAAAGATATCTTTATAGTTTCTTTTTTTTTTTGTGATAAAGATCTTTATAGTTTTTGAAATAGAGAGATTGAGAAAATCTTAAAATTAGACTGTGTAATTATGTAATTAATTGAATGTATAAAATTAATTGAGAATTTCTCTCATAGACTTAATTTATTAGTAGTGTCAGTTTTTACTTATAGATCATTTTAAACTATATTAAATTAGAAAAATATGAAAAATGAATAGTTTTTTATACAAATTTCACGATTAAAAATAAATAACTAGCAATAGTACCAGAGAAGCTCTCATATTAATTATATAAAAAAAAACCAAACAAAAACAACAAATGTGTTTGGAGTTGTTTTTGTTTTTGTTTTTCACGTTTTTCGAGAAAGAAAAAATAAAAACAGGAGAGAAACGACGTTTGGCACAATTAAAGAAAAAACGGAAATGAAAACGATTTTTTAGTTTAGTGTAAAAAGAGAGAGAAATGAAAAACGACTTTTAGTCTTTTTTATTTTTTGTTTTCGTTTTCTTCTCTCTCGAGTAGAGAGAGATAGAGACATTAATGGATTTTTTATACTTAAAACAATCTCTTGATAAAACTACCAAACACATTTTTAAAAATAATTTCTGTTTGAGATTGAAAACATTTTCATTTCCGGTTTCATACAAAAAACAAAATCATTTTAAAACGAGTTCCAAACGCACCTAACGAGACTCGATTCTAAACCATCGATTTTAATCAAACTTTATCGGAAAGTTATATATATTTAAGTATCTAGCGAGTATCCTTTTTCTTGACCAACAATTGTTAGAATTATTATTTCTTTTATTTATCTTTTTTATTGTTAGAATTATTTTGAATCTTAAGCGATCTAATAATTCTCTTTTATAACAAATTATGTGATAAATGAAAATGAGTGAGATTATTTTTTGACTAACAAATTAATTTAGAGCCTTTATATTTAACTAAAGTGGAATTTTTTTCGTTGGTAAAGAAAAAGGAAATCTGTGGCAGTGCACTTTATGTCTCTTAATCTCTTCAGCTATAGTAGCAATTTGAGAGACCATCGAGTATATAAAAATGACCTAACTAGTCTTTCACTGATCATTTAATCAATTTACACTCCTTTTAATCCTGTGAGACCCACTTAATCTCCCACAAAAATAGGACAACAATGAATAAATACAAAATATCAAACTTTAAAATGATAAATATAAAAGACCTAATAAAAACGTTCTTATCGATACATCACGATTCCTAAAATGGTTTTAATTAAAGTGGATTAAAAGCACCCTTCACATACCAACAATATGTGGGGACCAGGTGTCGTATCCCGCACATGGGCAAATCATCACTTAACGCGGGGGCGTTTGGTAGAAGGATTCGTTCCTTGATTCGAATCATGATTCGTGGTTCGTTATAGTATTTTCTCTCACAAAAAATACACGTAAATCAAAAATGGTTCAAATCACATAATTTGAATCCTCCAACCAAACGAATATAGTTTTATCTCCCAAGACAAATAACTTTCTCATCCATTTGTAAAAATTACCAATTCAAAATTAATATCGTAATATGACGGTTAAGGTTGAGATCCTTATGAAAAGGACAAGTATGGGGACTGATTCGAGGCAATTGCAAAACCCCGAGTACATATATGCAATTATCAAAATAAGATAGGAATGATGACGTGGATGTGAGTCTATAAACAGCCAGTTGTTTTGTCGGTTTGTTAAGCACCACACCACCTTTTTTTTTTTTTTTTAATATGATGTGAAAAGAAAATTTCTATCTCGTTTAGTTCGCTGATTCAAGTTTTTAATTCGATTTGAAATGTGATTTTATATGAGAGTTTTTTATTATAGCAAAAAAGTTAAATGTGATTATTTTTGAGAACTTTTTACTATAATAAAACTCGAATTCTAAACTCAAATCAATAAAATGAACGGAGCCTTAGAGATATCACAACACTACAATTTAAGGTTAATCCTATTATTTGTAAATAAGATATACAAACTTTTGATTCTTCACTTTTAAAACATCTCAAAATGAATAGCTGACTTATTAAATTGATATCTTCTCTGATACGCTGGCCTACCAATAGTTTTAATTTTTTATCATTAAATCTGATCAAAATCATAACAGATTAAAAATATATACATAACAGATAAATTATGATGCAGATCTGATGACTGAAAAATAAAAAACTACTAAAAGTCCATTGTTTTAGGAACTATGAGAGAAACTCTCTATTAAATTACCCAAAATTAGTCTTTTAATCCACCTAACAATTAAACTCTTAACAGCCAAAGACGCCTAAGGATCGTGTATGGTTTAGTGAGAGTTAATTTTATAATTTACATGTTACGGCATGATTATAAAAAAAGAAATTGTGCTTTTTTATTTCTTGAGATTTAAGCATTTACAAAGTGACTAACTTAAGAGTTAGGACAAGTGATGGACTAGAGATTCATTATCCTGAGACATTTTAAAAGTTAAATACTGAAATGATGTTTCATCTGTAACTCGAAAAATAAGATAACTCTAATATAAATGTTAGTATTCAATATTATATTTGACACAAAAAATATAAAAATAATAAATTTAATGTGCTATTCTATTTTATACTCATATTTATAATATTATTTTAAATATATCTAATTTTTTTTATAATTATTAAGTTCTGAAACTTATAAATTAGATTTTTAATTTGAAAATAATGTGAAATGACAATGATGTAACAATTAGATAAATAACTAAATACATGGAACAATGATAAGTTCAATTTTATTAATAATGATTAGCTAATTATGTAAAAAGACAATTTAATAATTACATTACTAAAATTCATAAATCCTAAAAACCGACTTAGATTGTTTCTCATTCCACCAACCCCACCACTAAATAAATGAATACACTTGAATAATAGATTGTTTCTCATTCATATTACTCCACTTTACTTTATAATCCTTTTATTTTTTCCTTTATTCATCTAACGTTTGGTAAACTCGAGTATGAAGTCTGATTTTTAGATTTCTTTAAGGTCTCGTTCATTTTACCGATTCGAATTTAGAATTCGAGTTTTGTTACAGTAAAAAGCTCTCAGAAACAATCACATCTAACTTTTTTGCTACAGTAAAAAGCTCTCACACAAAATCACATATCAACTCGAATTATAAACTCAAATCAACGAAGTGAACAGACCCTCGTCCAAATTCTTTTACCCAATTTGCAAAAAAATTCTGGATTATCACTAAAACCACTTTTTTTTTATCCATCTCATATTAATAACTCGACTTTTCATTTGAAGTGAATATTTGAATGCCACGTATAGCTAGTAATAATCTATTATCTATTTTTCGGAACATACAGAGAATTTTTTTTTATTTTTTTTATTTGAGTATCTGAGGCGCTAATATATCTACTAAAATACGACCGTGGAGCCAAGACGTCCACATCAGCGTTTTTATCTAAATTTTAGAGTAAATAGACTTTTACCACGTGCGATATTTCATTAATGATTCTTTTAGGCCCGTGACTTATCACACGAGTACGAGCTTCCTATTAATTTATATGCCCTTTAGTTTTTGTCCAAATGCTTCCACTCAATTGCCGACATATCACCCTTTCAAAAAAAATAAAAAAAATTCAAAAAAATCAATGTTATGACCTTTTATCAAAACATCTATAAAGAAACCTCAATTACTCTTTAGAATTTTACTATGATGAGTAAAATTCTATGGTCGTTATAAATAAGCAGAGCTATTAACAGAACTCCTGTTTATTTTCCTATAAGTACACCGTAAATGTAACTTTACATGTACATATAATATATATGTGACATTATATTTTTATGAGTGGTTATCATCAAATATAAAAATTTAATGATTTGGTGCGATAAAAATCAATGAAAAAATTGATCATCAAATAACCAGTGAGCTTGTCGTTCATTAGTGACTGAATTTGGCTTGAATAGTGAAAAATGCTCTAAGGCACTATCAGTGTGGCGCTTTATGAGATTTATGCAGTAAAATCCATACTGTAAGACTTAGTTGTCGTTTAGTTAGAGGATTCAAATCATGATTTAAATTATGATTCATGATTAACTGCAATATTTTTTTTTATAAAAAATACACTTAAATCAAAAATAATTTTAATAGTATAATTCTAATGGATGAACCAAACGTTTCTCGTACTTTTGAGTTTTCATGAATTTGAAAAAAGAATAGCGTACAAGAGCGCATTCCAGGTGTCGGGAACACCGGGAAGACACCAATGGCTACAATCGTTTCCCTTGGGCCCACCAAAGCCGTAGGCGGAGGGATGGCCATCTTTCCTCAGCTGAGAAAGTGTGGTTATGTTTAGAAGAGTGACTGGAGTAGACATTTTGCTCAACACTTGGTCTTCTATTGTAGCTGCTGGTGGCCAACCTCCTGGATATGTTGAACCACTTTCCGGTTCACTTTGCCCTTTACATGTCGCTGACTTGGAATCATTCCATTCTTCTCCACTGTTCCCGCTCCAAAGTCCAAAATTCACAAATAATTAGAAAATATAAGTTAGGTTAAATATTGTTACTTTGTTTTTTTTTTTTTTTTTTTTTGCTTAATTAACAAAGCGATAAGTAGCTAGGGAAAATAATTATCAATTGTTCTGATATGTCACTATGTTGTAACTATATATTTCTTTTACAAACTACAATAATATTGAGATTAAAATATTTAGAAAAGTAATAGATTATATACATTGGTATCAATTACATCTTTTTTGTTGTTGTTGATAATTATCAATTATATCTTTTATTAAGGGCGTAGTGCGAACATTTCTATTAATGGGACGTATACTGGTAAACTTTTGAATACAATGAGGGTTTAGAAATATATTAATGATCAGCATTGTACATATTTTATTAAAGAAAATTGTTGAACTTGTTCTTATATTATTTGGGTACTTTAGATTTTCATCTCTTACTTTTTATTAATATCTTTTTGACTGATATAGTTATTTAATGAAAAATAATATTTATTAAAAATAAGGAGTAAAATTCAGTCCCATATATAAATTCTAGAACGTATTTGTCTCCTTTTCTCATTTTATTATGCATATTGCCTGTGTTTTAGTTTGCTAATATTAAGCAGCTGATGTTAATGTGACAACTTAGAGCGATATATATATATATATATAGGAGAAACTAAGGCATTATACCTGTAATGAGTTGGAGAAATGCCTTGAAAGAAAACTGTTGTCTTGTTGGGATCAATATTGGAGTCTACCCACTCGGACCAAGTTGTCAAACCCATCCTGAAAGCCACCAAGCGATCCATATCTTTCCATATAATTCCTCCTCCTTCAATGTAATCCCAATTACAACTCTCAAAACAACATTACAAAATTAATCATCAGTTTTGGCTGCAAATTCCTTTGCATATGTCACATGCAGTGGCGGAGTTAGCAACTTTTTTTTAGTGGAGGTGTGAGTGGAATCAAAGTTTTAAATTAAAATAATAGTAATATTATTATTATTATACTCAACTGTTTTTATATTTTTTAATCTAAATAAATCGATTTTCTAGTTAATTTAATTCACTTTTTAAGGTCTACAATCAACAATATGAAATTTATGTAGTACGTCATTGATTATTGTGTATTTAACAATTTAAATAAAATATGAGAAACTCAAAAGTTACAGTTTAGGGTATGATTGAAATGTTTTGGAAACATTTTCATATAAATGTCATGAATGGAAACTTTTTTTTTTTTTTGGGGCGTGGGAATGGCTACATAAGAGAAAAAAATTCAAAAAAATTGGTCAGGACAAAATTAAAGGGACCACCTTGAACTAGTGGATGAGGTATATGCACACACATATGGTTCTAAGCACTTTTGTTATTGGAACATTTAATTTCTGCACATTACCTACTCAACTTGTAAAATTATTTCAATGTTCCTCATTGTACTAACGACTATTAAATTAATTAACAAAAAAGCTAATGAAAATGCCAAAAATTCTCAAATTGATTTAAATCCTAACACACACTAAAATCACCAAATTAACTCCCAAATCCGTCCTAGAAAAATAAAAATAAAATTGGGACACAATGAGGGGCTAAAGTTAAAAAATTAAAAATTAAGGACAAGTTGTCAAAATTTAGAAGTCTGGGGCAAAAGTATTAAAAACCATAAATATATTCATATACATATGGATTATAATTACCTAAACCTTTCCTGAGTTTTATCAAAATAATCATGTTTTACCCTGTTTAGGAATGCCTAAAAAGACTCTATTTTAACAATAAATTTAACCTCATTAATGGTTAACTTAGGATGTTCTAAGCTATTTTAAAATGGTCTTTTTGCATCTTAAATTTGATTATGTCAAAAAGAAGGTATTTTTAAACAGAAAATTAGAAACATAGAGCATAGCCATGACCTTTTTGCTGAGTTAAAAACACGAGGTAAAATGTGACATTCCGATGACACGTATATGATTCATTAGAGGTTATTTTTTTCTTTTTTTTTTTTTTTTTTTTTGACAAATGGGAGATTCATTAGAGATTGAGGTGTTTAATATGAAGATTAATACTATGATTCGAATAATAATTTATTATTTATTATAATATTTTTTCTCATAAAAAATATAAATAAATCAAAAATAATTTTAAATTTATAAATCAAACGTTCACGTACTTTTCTATATATATTATATATATATATATATATTTATATTTATAAGAGAGATCTCCAGTTCGGCACCAGATTCTGCACGAGTAGTTTAGGTCTCGTTCACTTCGCGGATTTGAGTTTTCAATTCGAACTAAGATGTGACATTTTCCGAGAGTTTTTCACTGTAGCAGAAAAAGTTAGATGTGACATTTTATGAGAACTTTTTACTGTAAAAACTTAAAACTAAAAACTCATATCGGTGAAATGAACGAGCCCTTATAATTTTTTTGTGGAGGTGTTTAGGAGGGGGCTGTGGCAGATTCGTGGAGATGAGGTTAGATGGGTTGCAGGTGGGATGAACTTATTTTATTCGGTTTTGGGCATTAACGTAATTTACCCATTTATAATAATATGAAATTGCATAGGTAGCGGCAGAGAATTTTAAATGAAACGACAATGTAACTTTTCTTTTCAAACGTATCTTTTACGTGAATTAATATTATGAGGTGTTTGGTATGAAAATTAGTATTATGGTTCGAATCATAATTTATAGTTTGTTATAGTATTTTTTTTATAAAAATAAACGTAAATTAAGAATGATTCTAAATTATAGTTCTGAATCTATAAAAAGATATTTGTTTCTTATATTCGTCCCTGATTCTGAATCATAATTCATGATTCTTTATAATATTTTTTTCTCATAAAAAATACACATAAAATAAAAATAATTCTAAATAATAATTTTAAATCTATGAATTAAACCATCACCTCCGCTCAATTTTTCTTCCACACATTTTTTATTATTACTTTTCTTTGACCTACATATTTAGCACGCCTCTGTGCTTGACCAGTGAGCCTAAAAATTTAATCTTTAAAATATGAGCCGTCAAAAGCATATCCAGTAGTCATAATAAATGGTGCTAAGTCAGGGCCTAGGGCCTGATCGGAGACTATATATATATATATATAATATGTGACTATGCAGATAGTTTATATTTTGTATATTTTAAAAAGAGTTTAGGAGCTCACGGTTGTTTGCTTCCTTTGTGGAGCCACCAGTGCCAGGTGTTGAATATGAGGGTGTCGTATCCCTTCCAAGCATTGCCGTTTTTTATGGAATCAAGCTTTAAAACCGTGCCTATCTCTTCTTTAACAAGATCAACAAGATATGCGCTGCGAAATAACATCATCGATACCCCATAATCCTGCAAATTTCAAAATTATGTACTATAGATAAATGATTAAAAAAAAAACAATTCCAAACCATTACCAGATAGGTCTTTTTTTAATACCCTACCCAAGAGTTTAGAAGAAGAAAAGAAAAAAAAAAAAAAGATATGAAAAAAAAATGATTGATTGCTTTACATGCAAATAATTAGGTTATCATGTTCAAAAGAACAACAAGCTTTTAGAAAAGAAAAAAAAAAAAAAAGAAAGAGAAGCAGAAAGAAAGAAAGAAAGACAAAATAAAAAATAGATTTCACCCTTGAGAAGATCATTCATATGAAAATTCCTGACATGTTTACACTTTACACCTTTTTTGTGGCAGTTTACAGCTTGAATGTGCTAGATTGAAGTGCTCGAATACAAAAGCATGAAAAATACTGTTCGATGAGGCGTGAAAAGGGTTTTTAACACATTTACTTCTTAAATTTATCGTACTTTAATAAATTACCTCTTAAATTTTTAATTTTAACAACTAACTCATTCAATTTATAAAATTGTTGCAATTAAACATATTCTGTTATCAATTTAATAGTCGTTTGTCAAATGTGTCTAATTATAATAGTTTTATAAATTGAGAGAGTTAGTTGCCAAAATTAAAAATTTAGGAATGAATTCTTTAAAGCACGAAAGTTCACAAACAATTAATGTGCTAAAAACCACATAAAAAATTAAGTACTTGACAAGTGTGAAATTTTGTCAGCAGAAACGCCTTCTCTAGGGCCGCTGCATCGCGCAGTCGTAAGACAATATTTTTAACACACACACACACACACACATATATATATATATATTAACATAAATTACCTGTAATAAGTTTGAAATTTGATGTAACAAATTAAAGAAAAAGAAAATAATAATTAAGAAAAAAACTCACAGGGAAAGAAAACGTGGAGAGGCCACCATTTCTTGTCAGTGTGAAATTGGATTGGGGCACTGAAGCATGAAGCATACATGTCAGAGATTGCCACTGATTGAGGCTCAGGGAGTCCCCAACAAATAGTATTTTCTTTCCCTTGAATTTTCTCAAGAATTCCAGACCATTAAATCTGCACATACGTCCATTCATATATAATATTATGTCCCCTTATATATACATAATTATAAGTATCATATAAACGCACGCAAACACTAGGGCCGTTTCGTTAATTAGTTGATTCGAGTTTTTAATTTAAGTTAAAATGTAATTTTATAAGAGAATTTTTTTTACTATAATAAAAATATTAAATGTGATTGTTTTTTTTTAAATTTTTTACTGTGACAAAATTCAAATCGAAAAAATAAACTGAACATATATATTTCTAAATTACAAATAATATATACGACCAACGTTAGTTACCATTCATTTTATATTATGCACGTACGGAAAGGAGTGTTCATTAAAAATGGAAAACAACAATATTCTTGTTGCTTTTCATTGTTTCATTTGAAACTATAAATATGGATAGAAATGTGTCGGTGCATGATAATTTCACAGTTCCTGTACAATTACACTAAGTTCTGATTATATATATAAACAGAAAATGATGAAAATAAAAAGACTGTCAAACGTCAGGGCTTGTCTTCCTACCAAAACACAATGACAAGATTGATTTATTTTTTCACTTTTATGCAATTTCATGATAAGTAATATCTTGTTCTTGGAATTCGTTTTATTAACTTTGGTTATAAGATGAATAAAATTTGATATATAAGGTCCCGTTTATCTCGTCGATTCGAGTTTTATTATAGTAAAAAACTCTCAGAAACAGTCACATTTAATTTTTTTGCTACAGTAAAAGGCTATCACATAACGTCACATCTCAACTTAAATTAAAAATTCGAATAAAAAAACTAAACGGGATGCATAGACGCTTCAAGTTCTATGTTACATACATATTGTTTATACATTAATATATAGGCATATATAATAAGGATGGCATGCATTAATACTATTTGGTTCTTTTAAAGGAAAATACAACTTTGTTCAGAAAAACAAAAACCTCATACATACATATGTATATGTATGTATGTATGGTACCTGGGCAATTGACAAGAGGTTGGGTTCCATCTATACTTGAGATAAGATTTATCTGGGCGTCCATTGTTCTGGCAATCAAATTCTTTCTCTATGAATGGGCAACTAGTCGTGTTGTAAAGTGGATCATAAGAATCGTCGTAAACCCAACTTCCTTCAAACAGATTGCATCTACTTCCCACTACTTCTGAATTGCCGTTAATAATTAACTTCTTCCTCATCATGATATGTTCTTCTTTTGCATTAATATTATTAATGCAATATCCATGTTTCTGTAGGAATATTAATATTGTAAAAATCAGCAAAATGGCATGCCAATGCCCCATTGGAGAGAGAGAGAGAGAGGGATGGAGGGAGAGAGTAGCGAGAAATAATTGAGAGTGATTTATGGATCAAATTATATATATATATATATATATATGTATGTGTGTGTGTGTAAAGATCAGATGAGTTTTGAGTCTTCTGCTGGTTAGGTGACCAGTGTTTGTTATTTTAGGTTCACTTATATATAAAGACAGAGACAGTTCTTCCTCTACCTTTTTTTTTTTTTTTTTTTTTTTTTTTTTTTAAAAAATTTTTTTTTTTTGTATTTTAATAAATATTCTTTGATATATTCTTTTAATTCCTTTTTATTATCCTTAAAAGGAAAGCTAGCCTTAATTACACTCCTGCTTTATACCATATCAAGAATATAAAATTAAGAAAGACCCTTCTGCAGCCGGTAGAGGTTTCTACTGATAGTGTTAATTTTTGACAGTTAAATCTGATTAAAATTACATTAAAATAAAAAGATATGTAAAATAAATAATTTTTAATATAAATTTGTCAGGTTAATACAGTAATACGCTATTTTTTTCAGTACCTGACTTAGAATTTTCCATAAAAGAATGGTAAAAAAATCAAAAACTATAGATATATTTTTTTTCACAAATTTAATTTTAGCATGTAAAGAAGAAAAGAAATTGTGTTACTTTCTTGAAGATAGAACAGTATTAGAACATATGTTCAAAAGCACAAATTTTGTACCAAATTTAGGGAAGAATAGCAGATATGTTGGACCCTTCATGAAAAAAAAAAAAAAAAAAAAAAAGATAGTAGATATGTTGGATACTATTTAGCAAATTAGTCAAGAAATCGTTGATGGATATATGCATGTTATTTATACAGTATCCCGATAATTGTAATTCTAGACAAGGACAGTTAGCTGTCAACTTAATTTGTTAATGCTAACTCGGAATATACCAATATATATGCAAATGGTAAACTATTTAAGTTTAAGAGAAAGAAAACTTTTTTTTTTCTTTTACAAATTTATGTGCGAAGAAACAAATGGAATAAAAAAAATGCTCAAATTGTGTAATGCGTATAACTTCAAGCAAGTGTTTGCGCATTTCATGAACTTCAATTTGAAGAATATTATTTTGTACTTTTTTTTTAATGGGAAATTTCATTTAATAATTAATTCAATACATACTCTAAAATAATTAAAAATGACCATTAAATATAAAATTATTTGACCACGAACGAAAACTAGATAAGGCTAGTAAAGACAACTGAGGCACAAAGGTGAATATTAGTACTGCCGAGTCCTAATGGGGGAAGACCTACTTGGCATTATCGAGCGCAACAAAAGCTTGTTTAATAAAGCCACTACAGTTAATGGATAAAATTAGTCAACTGAGACAAAAAAAAAAAAAAAAACTCAAAGTACTAGGGTCACTCACAAGACCGCATAGGATCAAACTCAGCGGGATAGACCTACCACCACCATAGAAAGGCGGGATGACAACAGTTGTTATTACTTGACGAAAACACAAAAACTAAAATGGCGGGATCAACATTGCCTTTATTACATCAAAATAAAAACTAAAAACAAGACAAAATTCCTCAGCCACACAGACAAGATCATCGATAACAAGTTGGTCACTAAGACCATAAATGATAGATCGGTGAGGACCCATGCGACACCAGCACAAACGTTGAGCACTCATCCACGCACACCTCTGAACTCCATAACTACTATGATGAGAAGAGCGAGATTCTAAAGTTATAAATACTTTGGAAAGTCGACATACAAAACATGGTCAACTAAAGAACTGACAGCTTATATCTCTACTTTAGTTACCGAAGTTGCCACTACTACACCATTGCCATGGGACTTAAAGCCTTGCCTCTAGAGTGGCACTGAACCTCCTAAAAGAGGAAAGCGAGTGACACACGAATAAAAGATAGAAACCCTAGAGAGAGAAAGGGAGAGAGATCATAAAAATTATTTCTTTATCTCATTTTGTACTATTTGGTGTGCTATTTAAGCTTTTCTTCTAGTTTTAACTCTTTTTTTTTTCTTTCTGAAAGTTCTAGTTTTAACTTGTAACCCTGAACCTCGCTCAAATTCATTTCAGATAAGAAACTAGAAAAGAGATGCCTTTCAATTAGAGGTTGTAGTATTATTTAATTTATATAGGATCCACTAAATTAAAGAATTAAGGGTTCGATCCCCCTTGTTTCCATTGTGCTTTAAAAATAAAAAAGGTACACATGTATGGAGCATAGGCTATGCTCCACCTTATATTTAAAATGAGAAATTTATAAATGTTTTATGGATGTTTTGAAAAAGTGATATTGCATATATGTTGAACTTTTGTATAAGATTTTTAGCTCAATGGGTCCCATACTGTTAATTAGATGATAATCGGTCTCTAAACAATTCATTTTGAAAAAAAAAAAAAAAAATCCCCAAATTCTCAAAATAGTTGAAAAAGGATTAAAATTATTAACAGATGTCAAATTTTAGATGAAAAAGTATGGGTTATCTATATCTACTTTAGTAGAATATGAAAAAAAAAAAACATATTTTAAAAAAATCTAGAACAAAACATAAAAAAAAAAACCACCTCTCAAATTACCATTGAACTAGGGGGCTTGATGGAGGAGGGAGGGGGCTTGATGGGCCGGTAACGATGATGGGGTGGGTTGCTTATTGCGGGGGATGGGGGAGGGGGACTCACTCCTCATGGTGGTTGGGTGAGGGCTGCTGAGCTTGAGAAGTGGGTGGGGGTGGTCAATAATCCATGCTTAAGTGTTAGACCATCTTCAATGTAAATGTTAATGTCAATTGTATATTTAGTATCAAAAAATAAAGTATAATATATTATTTTTATTTGTATTCTAATATATAATGCTACGGGGTGTTCAATAATCTATGCTTAAAGTATTACACCATTTTCAATGCAAATGTTAATGTTAATTATATGTTTGGTATCAAAAAGTAAGATATAGTATATTATTTTCATTTGTACTCCAATATATAATGCCACGGGGTGTTCAGTAATCCATGCTTAAAGTGTTAGACCATTTTCAATGCAAATGTTATTGTTAATTGTATTGTTTGGTATCAAAAAGTAAGATATAGTATATTATTTTCATTTGTACTCTAATATATAATGCTACGGGGTGTTCAGTAATTCATTCTTAAAGTATTAGACTATCTTCAATGTAAATGTTAATGTTAATTGTATGTTTGGTATCAAAAAGTAAGATATAGTAGATTATTTTCATTTGTGCTCCAATATATAATGCTACTTGAAATGTTAAATCTGTCTTTTTTCATAATTATTAAGCTATAAAAGTTGTAAAAGTAAACTTATAAAAGTAAACTCTTACTTTTAAAACAATTTGAAAATGCAAAGTTGCAACAGTTAGTTAAAAAATTAAGCATTTCAACCAATAACATCAAATGCCAAATTTATTATATGTTATACTAGGAGGGAAATTTGCCACAAAGTATAATATATGACAAATTCAGCACAACATATAGGATTGTATTGGAGAGTTTCTTTACACTCAAATTCTAAATTTGTAATTAACACATTAATTATAGTATTGCATTGGAGATGCTTTTATGTTTTTGTTCTAAGGCATTTACTTTCTTAAGGTTTTTATTTGTGTTAGTTTATCAATCTATCCTAAAAGTTTAAACTATTAGAAAGAGAGCCACTAATAGTTTTACATTTTAACACTCCCCCCACATGTAAGCTGAACAATGGACAATCGTGTGGGTAAGGTTTCGTTTATTTTGCTAGTTCGAATCATAACTCAATTTTTGCTACAGTGTTTTCTCAAAAAATGAGAAAAAAGAGAGCAATTATAGGGGGAACTCAAGACCTCCCTGTAATGACTGAGAAAATTCCAGACTTTAAATAATACAATTTATTTATTTAAGCCAAGGATTTTCCTAGAAAATATTATGTGACTGAAGGATTTATGGAATCAATATATGTATTCCTAAATTCTGTAGCAGATTTCATGTTAAGTTCATGTTTTCGATCAAGTAAATTCGATCGATAAATTCTTGCCGTACTTTAAGGCGGAATAATTTTCAGTACTAGTATAGTTTAAGAATCTTAATTTCAAGAATCTCCAAACACAGCATGATGTTAGCAGCGTAAAAAAAAAACGCACTGACATTTTTAAAAAAAGAGAAAATCCTTAATTGCCAGACAGCTAGGTTAAAGTCACAAGATAGATACCTATAGTAGAAGGGTACAATGTGAGCTAAGGAGTTGACACCGTCAGAAACAACGTCATTTCTGAAAATTAACGCAGGAAAGTTAAATTTAGAATTTGTTCAGTCTAGAATTAATTTCAAGACTGTAAACAGTTCAAGATATTACGCGAATAAGAATTTAATGTGATATCCAAAGCAGTCAAGGATTTAACATTTAACTGTAAATAAGCAGTAGAAAAAGGACCCGTCAGAAATGGAAACGAATTCCTGTTAGCTAAGTTACTCTCTTATAGTCAGTATAATTTTTATCAGTTTCTAAGGGAAACTTAAGAAAGTGGACAAGAGTACAATGGGGTAGGTGAGATTTTTTTCTCTCCCTTCCTCCACTTGGCCGGCCATGCATGAAAAAATAGAGCCAAACCTTTGGCTAGTGGAGTGTGCTAGAGGACTTTATGTTAAGGTGATGTGATGTTAGTGGTTGAAGGGGAATTAATGGCAAAGTTGCTTCTTCTTTTCTCCTTCCAAAACCGGCCAAGAAAGGGGGATTTGAACCAAAAATTTGGTTGAATGATGGAGTGGAATTGGTGTTAAAAAAAATAATTTCCAAGTGCCTATAAAAGGAACCAACATAGGATAAGCTTCATTTTTTTTCTCCTAGCTTTTTCCCCACTCAAAAATCCGGCCACACACTCTCCATTTCCTCTCAAATATTTTCTCCCACTCTCCAAAACTTGAGCCCCTAGCACACCATAGAAGAAGAAGAAGGAGATTAAGGGATTCTAGGAGGAGACTAGTCAAGCATTCCTCTAAGGGTAAAGAAACTCTAAATCCTCTCTTTTTCATGTTTTGGGAAAGTTTGAAATAGAGAAATATTCTTCTCAAATTTCCTTATACTCTTATAGTTTCAAGCCATTAACAATCCTAGAGGAGTTCAAGGGTTTTTCAAGAGAAAGAGAGAATTCTTCAAGGGTAAGTTCTTAAACTCCCCTCCATTAATTTCTAGCCAACTTTAAGCTTGGATTTATGGATGTAAATTTGTGGTTCTTGAAGAGATAAGATTGTAATAAGAGTGTGTGAGTTTTATGTTGGTTTTGTGAGTTTTGAGCTTAGTTTGATGTGGTATGTTTATGCTTAATCTAAGTTGCTTATTTTCGGATTAGAGGAAAAATTTTCCGGTGACTTTGACCGCGAAAATGAGGACCATAGAGCGAGAGTTTTTAATGTTTTAAAGCTTGAACTTATAGCCCTGGATGTTTTGAACATTTTCGGTTACTATGACAAAACCTAATTTTAACTCTAAAACCAAGTTTGAAGCCATTTGGCAAAAACGGACAAGCTGTCCAACACAGTTTCGAAAAAAAAACTGGCAGCCACTGGTTCAGCCAAACGGGACCCTTAGAAGCTGAATCTCGATTTTTCACAAAAGTGACAATTTTATATTTCGACGAGATGAAGAAATTTGATGAAGAAAAGATTTTCAAAATCCGACCCTAAGAGGTACTAAAACACAGATTCCCGAAACGGCACAGTTTTTGACTAAAACAGTTTCAAGAAAAACAACAGCTACGGCTTTCAGCCAAACGGGGCCTTTAGAGGCCGAGATGAGAAGCTATACGGCTCAACTCCAACATAATTGCTCTGATATAGCTGGCTCTTTTAGGCACTTGGATATTTCCCAACAACTCCGGTCCATTTATGGTTATTGCTTCTGTGAACATAGTAGCTAAATAATCCCAACGCGTTACATAAGGCAGATATTGTATAATTGTTCGGTTTTCCGCAATTTTTTCCATTCCTCGGTGTAAATAGCCTAATATTGGTTCACAGTCAATAACATCTTCACCATCGAGAGTAACGATGAGTCGAAGAACACCATGCATTGATGGGTGGTGGGGACCCATATTTACTATCATGAGGTCTTTTCTTGGAGCTGGTATATTCATAGGTTTTTCTTTTTCCTCGATTGATTCTTTCATGAATTACTGAAAAGCGAAAATAAGTTCATTAAAATAAAAAAAAATCAAGATCTAATAAATCAAATAATTCAATAATTCAAAACGCTTCCTCAAATTCAAATTAACGCATTTTTGATTCCCGAATATCTAACTGATTAATTAATTCTTTATAACGTATTCTATTGTTCTTTGACAAATAAGACAGCATCCTTTGGCGTTTTCCCAAAATTTTACGGAGGCCTCTCTGAGATAAATAGTCTTTTCTGTGCAATTCCAAATGTGAAGAAAGTTTTCGTATCCTATTAGTGAGGCTTAGTATTTGAAATGTAACAGACCCCCTGTTTTTTTCTTTTTCTTCGTGTGAAATAACCGAGATGAATGACTTTTTTATCATAAAATGAAATCTTCCCCCCCACCGGCCCTTATTGCTTTGCTAGATTTTTTTATTGATCAATAATAATAATGTTATTCATTTTTTTTTTTTTATTTGGCATACACAATACAATAATCTTAATTTTGTGAATAATCTTAATTTTGTGAATAATTTCCAATTTGAAAATTGTATTCGAATAGGTAAACAAAAAGATAGTTGTCTGCACTCACAAAAGATAAAAAATTATATCTAAAATTTAAAAATAAACTAAGAAGATTTTTGCATTATTTCTAGATATTGATATGTCATTAAATTAGTATCGTGTATCATAATGGAATAGAAAACAATATAGGTGTGCATCTATTTGTCTTCATATATGCAATATAGTACGGGAAATAAAATCAATCCGTATTTCACTTTTTTTCAGTACACGCTTAAGTTCATTTTTAAATTGCGGATACATATGTATCCTTACCATACTGAAACGACTGCCATTATTGGTATCAAACCAATAGCGATTCATACAAGCGAAATCTTCTAATCGATAATTAGGCCAAAGAAAGAACTTTAATCTAATTATATTATTTTGATTTATTTTGCTTTTATTCAAAACCGGACTCTTTACCTTATTTTCATTACAAAAAAATGCATTGCTAGGTATACCATTTCTATTCCTAGAATTGAAACAAATTAGAATTCTCAATTCTCTACGATGTCTAGGGGATAAAATAGTTTCAGGAACAAACAAATCATAATGATTTTTGTCTCGATTTTCAGTCATCTTTTGATGTTTTGAAATGAATTCATCAAAATTCTTCGTATCAACATGGCCCTTTTCTCGATACCTTTGATTAATTGTGTGTTTACTTTTATGAACCAACGAAATACCTATAGTTTGATACATAATAAATTGTCCTTCATTTTTTCTAGACAGACGAACTGGTTCAATAAGTAATATTCCCTTTTTAATCAATTCTGTAAGAATGAAATTTTTCTGAATCATTAGAAGATCCAGATTTATTTCTCCCCTTTGAATAGAGGCTATAGTAATTTCTCTTAGGTTTATCGGTCTAAGCAGGGAACAATATACTTTGATGTTATCGATCATTTTTTTATTTAAAGAATCGTCCCATCTCAATTGAAAAAGCAAATACCTTTTTAGTAAGAAATCAAACTCCGCTTCCATGTTGGTCCTGGATTGTTTTTTATTTTTTTTCATCTTTGATACCGCATAATTTTCTTCAATATTCCCTTTCTAGTACCATGTTAGTTTACAAATCTATCCCAAAAGTTTAGCTATTAAGAGGTGAACCAACAATAGTTTTATATTTTAACAATTTGCATTTCTTTTCTTATTGTTAGCTTGGTAAATTTAGTTAAAAATTAAGTCCATTGCGATGTTTCATCTAATTTTTAATGTTGGTTCATAATTTACAAATTTTAATTCCTTAGCAACCATTTTAAAAGTTTGAGAGGCTTCTTTCCCCAAAAAAAGAAAAGAATGGGATTAAGTTATCACCTAGTAAATAGATTGGGATCAAATGAGCTAAGAGACTTGGGGTTTGTTTGGTATATGAATTTAAACTAAGATTCAAATCAGGATTTTTGGTTATGACTTTGAAATTTAAATTTTTTGTGAGAGAAAAATACTGTAATAGAACCAAAATTACAGGTTTACACTGTAGCAGAACCCATATACCAAACATCACCTTAGTGTTTTACAATGAAAGCTCCATCAACGGGGTGCAGTACTCGTGTAAGACTTTGCACTTTTAAACCAAAAGGCAATCAAAAGGTCTTTGAATATTTGGGCAGTGTGGGCTAGAGATTTTCAGTCATTGAGTAGACGTTTGGTTCATGAATTTAGAATCATGATTCAGAATCATTCTCGTTTTACGTGTGTTTTTTGTGAGAGAAAAATAATATAGAGAACTATGAATCATGATTCAGAATTAGGGACGAATACATGAAACAAATATCCCCTGATCTTTTAACAACTCAAATTTTATAACTACAACGTTTTCATTCCCAAAAATTCAAATAAACTTTTTTGCTGAAGTTTTCAAAATTGAGAATACATCACTATGCTTGAGTGTAAAAAAAAAATTGATAATTTTGGTTGGTTGTTGGTGATGGGCACTTTATAGGAACGCTACAAATTTTAAGTTTGGATTGACACATGTTAACAAATATAAATTATTGTAGACATGTCACAACTAAAGATACTTAAAAATTACAAAATTCATAAAAACTACAAATATATACATGAAAAACTCATAAAATTCAAAAATACTGAATGAAGTACACAAAAATAAAAGTATAATTTTACTCAGTACATAAAATTTAAATAATATTGCTGTAGTATATTTTGTTATAGTTTTAGTATCCATAGCAAAAGTCAATCTAATCTTAAAAGCCATGTATATTGCTTAAATATCTCCTAAAAGGATGAGCCTAGTGCGGCCCGTCCTGAAGACTTAGGCTCAACCCAGCTTGGATGTATGGGCTAGGCCCAAATTCGCCCCATATTTATTAGAGGTCCAATTTGATGTAAGAATCAGTTTGTCGTTTATCTTTTATAATATACATAGATGCATAACAAAATGTTAGCATGAACAAAACGCATCATCAAATTAGTATTCAACCAATCTCCATACCATATATTTGGCTTTACTGAATAAAGTAATTACAACCCCATTATTGTCCTTGCTTTCAGAATATAATAATATTATTTATATTTGATTATAAACAATTACTTTTTGGGTAATATTTCATGTTTCAAAGAATCAAGTTGTAAAGAATCTCGTTCCAAGTATCAGGAACTCCAGGGAGGCACCAATGGCTACAATCCATGGCAGTTAAGCCTCCAAAGCCATAAATAGAAGGATGTCCATCTTTACGCAAGAGTGACAGGTTGGTGATATCCAGCAATTTGACAGGCTTTGTAATTTTGTTCAACACATCTTTAAGCACAAACAAAGCCGGTGGCAAACCCCCTGGATAAGTTGAGCCAGCCAATGGTAGCTTCTCTTCCTTGCAACTCTTTGCGCTTGGCTCATTCCACAATGTGCCGCTGCAAAAAAATTTCAAATTAAGTGGACGTTTGGTTTATGGATTCAAAATTATGATTCAAAACTATTTTCAATTTACGTGTATTTTTTGTGAGAGAAAATACTATAACGAACCATGATTCGAATCATGGCATGAATTTAGAAACCAAACAACCCATTAAATTTATAAATTGGAAGAGATATGTGTTTATTATATATTTATATTTAGTACCACATGTACCCTCCCATATTGTTAGGTCTAAAAGCCAGCAGTACCAACCATGTTGGGTGCCCTCATGTGGTGTGGGGCACCAGGAGTTGCCCCCATAGCTTTATTCTTTCATAAAACTTAGGTCAGATTTGAGAATTATGACGATCATAATGGTACAAGAAATCAAACTTGTGTATTATGGCTATGACTGCCAATTCGGATAGCGACACGACGATACGATTCGAAATCCGCACAAAGTTAGTGGGTTTGAATTTATTATAAATGGATTTGGGTCATAATCAGGGTGACACGATTAACACGATTAATAAATGAGTTGGGTTATGGTTGACCTTCTAACCGAAGTGACACGATTAATTATATGTGTCATCTACAATCTCATGATATGTGATATAACATGAAAGTTTATATAACATATTAAATAGAAATAATGTGAATTTTAATATTTGTAGGTAAAATTCATTTATTTTTCTTAAAAGAAAAAATAAATTGACCAATAAACATGTTAAACATGTTTTGACCGTGTTAAATAAGTCATTATTATATTAGTTATTTATTCAATATATTAATTTAAACGAGTTATACACGTTGACACGATTAACACGATTAATAAATGGATCGTGTTTGGGTTGATATTTTTGACACGTTTAATAAACATGTTGTGTTTGAACTGATGTTTTTTGACACGATTAATAAACGAGTTGACACGAACACGACCGACTAACACGAATTACCACCCTTAATTATGGCCCAAATTAGAGTTTTTAATTAAAACAATAAAGAAAGGGGGAGTAGAAGAAACTTACTTGTAATGAGATGGAGAAATTCCTTGGAAGAAAACCATTGTCTTGGCAGGGTCAATATTTGTATCCACCCATGCCGCCCATGTAGTGAGAGCCATCTGGAAAGCAAGCATACGATCCATGTCTTTGGTTACCTGCTGACCTACTTGGACATAATCCCACCTGCAATATAATTAATACAAAAATAATTAGTTGTACCTAGCTTATAGCTAAAAATACGTCACATCAATTCATACCGGCTAAAAAACAAGAAAGAAAAGATTTATCATCGATTAGAGTTGACTGCAACTCTAAGTGGACGATTAGTTCACAGATTTAGAATAATGATTTAGAATTATTCTGAATTTATGTGTGTTTTTTATGAGAGAAAATACTGTAACGAATCACGAATAATAATTCGAATCATGACACAAATTCTCGTACCAAACACTCTCTAAAATTTAAATTAGTCGGCGCTTATAAAACAACTGTACAATGTCGTCAAAAAATTTTATAATGATATCAAACCTCATATCTTTAAAAGTCATATATTAAGGTGTCGTGACTGTCAAATTTTTTTATTTTTTATTTTTAAAAAAGATAAAAAATAAAAGGGTAAGAGTGATAGTTTTTATACATACGGTTGAGTAGGACCCCTACGGTTCCACCAATGCCATGTGTTGAAGATAAGCATGTCAATTCCTTTCCACAGTTTGCCTCCATCAATTGAATCCAATTTCAATACTCTACCAATTCTCTCCCTCACAACATCTACTAGGTACACATTGCGGTCAAGCATCACTTTGACACCATATTCCTGCAAACATATAATAAAGAGGTTTTTATTAGTCTAAGTGGTGCAAAACTTTTGTATTTATGACAATGAAATTGTAAACGCTGAAAGATTGAAATTCCATCTCATACTACTAGATAGAACTCCAGACCATCATATGTTTGGTGCATGGTTTAAGAAAAGAAGAAGTAGAAAAAATTTCTTTTATTTACTTTTGTTTTGGGGATCTTCTTTGAAAAAGATAAAACAAAAAAATTATATACTATAGTAAGGTTTGAAACTTAAGGTCTTCTTCTTTTCCTAACTCAAACTTTTCTATCACAGTGTTTTTTCTTACAAAAATTTAAATTTAACTTTTTTACTATAGTATTTTCTCTCATATAAAAAAATTTGAGTTGTGATATGGCATTAACTAGGAGAGTCACTTCTTTAACAACTCACTAACTTTGTCTTTATTATAATATTTCAAAATATGGAGCTTATTATACAATTGTTGAGTGCTTATTTTCCTTTGTCAATTATTTCTCAAGAGTGGAGTATTATCAATTATGCTTTTAGTTTTTAGACCATCTCTAATGTAAAAATTAATGCTAATTGTATATTTAACACTAAAAAGTTTGATAGCAGATATTATTTTTTGTGCTCTAATGTATAATTCTATTTGAAATGTTAAAACCTATTTTTTCTATAATCATTAAGTTTTTAAAGGTGTAAAAGTAAATTTTTAATTTTAAAATAATTTAAAAAAGTAAAAGGTGTAATGATTAAATAAAAAAGTAACCATATCGACAAATAAGAATTAAGTGTTCAATTCATCATATGTTATATTTGGTGAGAAATTTACTATAAAATATAACATATGACAAATTTAACATAATAAATAACATTGTATTAGAGAGTATATTTTACACTAAAATACTAAATTTATAATTAGCATATAATTATAGCATTGTATTATTTTCTTTCATTAAAAAAATAAAAATATTACTCTCTTCAGTGTCGTTTTCATTTTAATGTTGATACGTTAGTATATAATTATCACTTCTCTTTTTAGGTCACTCCTCATTTTCATGATATCTTTCACAACGAGCACTATTTATTTGTTCCTATTTAGCAACCAAAAAAATTAAACGAAACAAAAAGATAAACACTATTGTTAGGCAAGTTGGTGGGGACACTTGAAGAAGAGAGGCTGATAATAAAAGAAAATTTTCTCCATTAGTTTTGCTCATTTGAATTAAAATTTTAAATTAAAAGAATAAGTTTATGAAAAAAAAACTGTAATATAAAAAATTAGATTTAAATTTTTATAAGATAAAATATTACAGTAAAAATTTAAATTATCATTTAAATTCGAATGGAAAACTACAAAAGAAAAAAGGCAATTTTCAACGCAAAAATAACGTGGGGAAAACAGTAATAAGATTCCCCATGCACACAAGTGTACAAATATATGAGGCCAAATTCTCTTTTGTCTGGAAAAGTGCTTCTGCAACAAGCCTTGTGAAATGGGCAACCGAAAAGAGGACCACATGGTTGGTACAATGATGACAACATTTATAGTATTTTTAATGCTTCAATTTCATTGAAAGGTTCCTGGCGAGGACTGACTAGAAATTTCTTGTGATTAGGATTATATGATTAAAATTATTTTTTATTTATGTGTATTTTTTTATGAGAAAAAATATTATAATAAATTATAAATTATGATTTAAATTATGGTTTCAATTCTCTAATTAAATATTTACAGTCTTAGATTGACACCCATAACCCCATATTTCATGAGAAATGACCAACTAACCCAAATCCCTCCATGATTCCAAGTTATTGTTTTTTTTTTTTTTTTTTTTTTTTTAAATGGATAATTCCCATGTTGTTGTTTAATGAGATATTTGTCCTAAGTAAACGTATGAAGATGAGCTTAATTATTATCCTAACGTAGACTTAGAGGACGTTTGGTAAGAGAATTCGTACCATGATTTGAATCATAGTTTATGGTTTGCTATAATGTTTTCTCTTACAAAAAATACACGTAAATCGAAAATGATTCTAATCTATGAGCCAAACGTCTTCTTATATTGAGGGCGCCATTTTTTATATTAAAATTAAAAAAAATAAATACAAAAAATCTAAAAATGTCAGCTACGTTATTTCTCTTGTAATCTTCTTCCCACCTTAATAAAATTCTACAGCGCTTAAAACTGAACGTGACTTTCATATATCCAAAGCAAACTAGCCAATTTTTCATATATATATATATGTTGTAATAAATTATTTTGTACATAGTCAATTTTTTTTTTTCAAATAAGTAGCAACATACAATTAAGATGATCAATACTATATTATTTAGAAATTAGAACAAAAACTTGAAGCTAAAAGAAAATTACTTACCGTAAATTCGAATATTGAAACATCATCTACTCTTGTAATGGTATAAGTGGCATTAGGTACTGAAGAGTGAAGCATGCATGTGAGTGACTGCCACTGGTTTCGGCTCAGAGAATCTCCAACAAACATCATACTCTTCCCTCTTAACCTCTCCAAGAAATCCTCTCCATCAAATCTATAATCCAAAAGCTTTCCCAAAATTTAATTAATTTGTTTCTAATTAATTTTAAAGTTTTCCTTGCTTATTATATATATATATATGTCTTAATATTGATATTAGCTAATGAGAGTAATGAACTGCATATATATATATATATATAAATGTGTGTGTGTGATCTAAAGAAAATAAACAAATGAAGTAAACAGACAATACCAGCTTGGAATCAAACTCAACACCTATCAACTTGATTATATTTCTTCGTAGTTGCAACTATTTAGATTGGACATCCAATACCCTTGTTTGTCTTTTATATTTTGCACAGTTTTTTTTTTTTTTTTTTTTTTTTTTTTTTTTTTTTTTTTTTTCCTATTGCCCTAATATGACAAAAGAATATCATTATCATTAGAAAGAAAAGGTTATTAACTTTTTTTTTTTTTTTGCTAAGCGAAAAGGTTATTTTTTAACTTGATAAGTGTGTAAAACACAAGTGTTCAAGTCATGCACTAGTAAAACAAATTAAATACGCTCATAAGAAGGGGGGGGAAAAAAAAAACAGAGAGAGAGAAACACGCTTATTACAATAAAATCAATCTATTACATATATTACTTGGGGTCCTCTTAACTGTTTGTATCATCTAATCTTTATTAACAAATATAATGATAATTGACACTTTTTCCTCCATTCAATTGCTAATGAGTGGAACACCCTACTAAGCAAAAAGGCATCCTAGTAAAGCCAAACCATTCTAGAGCTCTTAAATATCAAAGTTGAAATATAGCAAAATTTTTTACATGTTACAAGAGGAGCAAAATCTGATATCATTAAAGTAATGATCTTATAATTATATTGCAGAAAATGTGACATCATTATGATAATTATTATGTCATTTTTGTTATTTTTGTAATGTTTTAAAAATTTTACACAATTTCAACTCAAATTATGAAATTTGGCCATGTAGTGTAATTATCTATTTATTATATTGTATAAATCTAATCATTATTTCTCTAATTAAGATTAATGCAAACCCACATGTCTATATATACACACATATATAATACGCGCACACACAGACACAGACACATATATATATATATATATGTATATATTGATTTATATAAGATTAGATTAATTATCAAACTCAGCATTATGGTGTAAATGTTTGTCTCCCAAATCTCAGAAGAGCATGTCACATGGGCAACCCACCGCAGAGCCCCGTGATCCTTCATTCTAAGCCCTAAAATAATCTAATTGAATGTATGTTGTTATTGCTTTCACATTGCCACCGACTGTATATATATAGTCTATTTTCGCATGCACAGAATAAATTTCATTCACAAGACATTCAACTAAACTTTCTAGATCTTAGAAGACTACCAACAATCTTCTTTCATTGTACGTAGTTCAAACATGGCACTTACTATTGTATTGTATATGTTTTTGAAAGTCAAATTTGGAAAAATCACATTAAAAAAATATGAAACTGATCTCTTTTTGTACTTTACTCTAAAAAATCTTGTGATAATTGTACGTCAAAATTTTAAGAATTCTGATATCGTAAAATAAGTAATAACATTGATGTATAACCTTATGCACCTTTTCTTTTTGTTTTTTTGGAAAACTTTATTCATCAAACAAACAAAAAATTATGGTATGTATAATTTGACTCTTTTTTCTTTTTTGAATGGCTAATTTTAAGGTATGGAGGTTTTTTTTTTTTTTTTTTTTTTTTTTTTTTTTTTTTTTTTTTTTCTCTGGGCGCTAGGTATGGAAGAGTTTTAGGCATCGTTCATTTCACCGATTCGAGTTTTCAGTTTTAGATTTTTACAGTAAAAAGCTCTCAGAAAATATCACATCTAACATTTTCTGCTACAGTGAAAAGCTTTCAAAAAATATCACATTTTAACTCGAATTTACGAAGTGAACGAGGTATAAGAGTACTTATGACAACAGATATTTTATATGATTTTCTTTTTATAATTTACTATATATGAATTAGTCGTGTTGAAAAGTAACACATCATTTGCTACAGAATAATGTGAATATTTTACTCCCCGTTAAATATAATTTCTTGGGTCTTACAATAACACATTGCACAATTATTTCCTCTCTATTAAACGAATAAAATTATATGGACATGAAACACACTTATACTCAGCCTATATAAATAATCATTCTTTAAATAAAACATTAAAAAAACCGCATTCATTATTCTTTGAAACGCCAACTGCACTGCCAAAAAAATAAAAAAATAAACAGAAAGAAAGGGCAGAAAAGCAGCAGCCAGTTATTGAAGCCAAACAACATTACAGCCAAGAACATTAAATACATTAAATATTTGTCATTGGGTCGATGAATGCCCCAATCGCGTCACTTTGCGCGTGGAGTAGAATTAGCGGCGACAGACTGACACACTATTTTTTTTTTCTTTTTGAAAAACGACACTAAGTCGTTTAGTATGAGAATTCACATCAGGTTGATTCTAATTATTATTTTAAAATTAAAATTAAAATTCATAATTTTAAATTTAAATTATAATTCTAAAATTATGATTCAAAATTAAAAATTTGAATCACTTTGAATCAAGAGAGGAATAGGTTTAGAATCATGATTTGAGTTAGTTTAAAACATCATATTAAATTCTGAATCATCCAAACCAAACACTGATCTGAATTATGATTCAAAATCATTATAAATAAATACTAAATTCTAAACTAAAATTTAGAATCATGATTTTAGATCCATCTATCTATCGTATTTACACTTTCCTTTTGTTATTTTCTTTTTGTAACACAATTTCATGTGATGTTCCACCCACAGGAGCTTTCATAAGCACAGCTGGACAGCTATTATAATGAGGTTTTTTTTAATTATTTTTTCAGAATCATACGATATTGATTACTAATTAATCGGACAGATCTAAATATTTATTTTTAATTGGCAATTAAAAATAATAAAGAAAAGACAGCCCAGCCAAAACCAGAAGCAAAAAAGGAAAACTAGTTGTCAATTGCAATTAGATTTCCTTCACGAAAGCCTTTTTCTTCTTTCTTTTTTTGCTGTAATTTTCCTTTTTCATTATTTTCTGAAAGTGGAATTTTGCTTTTCATTTTGGATACGAATATGAAAACGGACACACGAGATATGACCATTGACAATCGCTTGCACTTTTTGCCAAATTTTCATAAAAGTAGGAAAAAGTAAAAAGGAAATGGTATAAAAATTTGGCAAGTTGCCAAAATTAAAAGCCCCAAAAACCTATCAAATTTAGAAAAGAAATATCCATCTTTAGATTGAGAGTTGTGCTCATATAGTCCCTACTATATATACATATATTGCTAATATTTTGTCCCTCATATTTCACCAAAAAGACTCAATTAGCTGTGAGAATTATATTATTATATGTAGGTATGATAAAATGTCAAATTGATTTAACTAGTTTTGAATATATTTCATTTTTTTTTTATTTTGATGTAATTTTTATAAGATTATGAGGGCAGAAAGCTCCTTCTGGTTAAACCATCCTATTACGACGCGAAAACCAATAAACTGCTAACAATATCACAGTTATATATCACTCCCAACCTCATGTGGGTTATAATTTCTCTACCAAATGGGTGAAAAAGAGAACATATAAACAGTACTTTTTTGCCTTTTCCTCTTTTTGTGGCTAACCAACTGAGTCCTGTTAGACCAAAAAGTTGGTACATCACTATTCACTTTTTTATGTACCAACTGTGATATATTTAAGTTACGTTTAATTTTAAATTTTTAATTTAAATTAAAATTTAATTTTATGTGAAAATTTTTTATTATAATAACAAAAATAAATAAATGTGACTATTTTTGAGAATATTTTACTGTAATAAAACTCGAATCAGTGAAATGAAATTATATGCTCACAGATTATTACAAAAACGTATCCAAAATTCCTAATTAATTGCATCACCTTGGCATGGTAAAAACATAAACTTGTCACCGCATGTGACAATTTAACATCACTTTTTTTTCTTTTTTAGTAAATTCCATTTAACATTATTGAAAACATTAAATCATTTGCATGATAGCACAGAAAATTAGCAATTTTACAAAAAGAATGTAATGATTGCATTGGCGAGAAAATTATCACTATATGCAAAGGACAATGCTAGCTATAATCAAACTTTTCATCATCACAAAAAAGAGAAAAAATGAAAAAAAAAAAAAAAACCCATGATATAGTAATCAAATTCACCATTACCCAAAACATCAAAAAAAAAAAAAAAAAAAAAGAGTGGGCAGAGAGAAATACCTTGCTAAATTGCAGTCTTGTGGTTGCCATCTGAATTTGGTGTAAAAGAGATCAGGTCGGCCATTCCTCTGGCAAGTGAACTCGTGCTCAAGAAAATGACATATTGAAGGATCGTAAAGTGGATAAGTACGGTCCAAAATCCATCTTCCCTTGAAGAAATCACACTCAGAAGTTATACCCTTTGCTTTGTGCAAGTAATGAAGGACAATAAAAAGAAGAAGATAAAATGTAATAACAGAATGGCGAGACCAGAAACCCATTTCTAAATATGCATGAGAGATATATATATATATATATATAGAGAGAGAGAGAGAGAGGAGAGAGAGAGAGAGAGAGAGGTAACAGGACTAGAAACCTCTCTTCTCTCAATCTTGTTTCTGTGGTAACAGGACTAGAAACCTCTCCTCTCAATCTTGTTTCTCCTCTACCCTCTCTCTCAATATATAGAGGTTGTCTTTCAGTGTGTTTTGCTTTTTTTATTTTTTATTTTTGCGGTGAATTAAATTGAATATTTAATCCAATATCAAAAAAAAGAAAAAAAGAAAAATAAAAGGAAGGAAGGAAGAGGTGAAAAATGCCATATTAATAAATGGGATCCACTGGGATCCAGATTAAGGAACGAGTTTTGCCTTTTTGTGTTGGCTTTTTGGGTTTGCATGGTAAATAGTCTTAAACGAGTGGCCCTTTTTCTTCTTCTTTTTCTTTTTCTTTTTCAACGAGGGAGAAGTTTCTTTTGCTTTGGGCAGTTGCTGGTATCTTCTGCCGAGCAAAAGATTGGATATGACATACTAACGTATTTTTGGAGAGTTATGTTGCAGGATACCAAAAAATATGCCTTGTATATATAAACTATAGAGTACTAAATTATCATATCACACCATAATCATAAATATTTAAAAAGTAAGTTTTCTTTATGGTGCATCTCAAAATTATGATCTAACAAGTGAAATAAGTGTTTTTATCTTTGGATTAATTTTTAACAGTCAGATCTGCGGCTTGAGTGATTCTGCATAGTGCATTGTAAATTTATAATATAAACATACACAGATTTTACCGTTAAAAATTTAATCCAACAGTCAAAAATATTTTTTTTACCAATCGATCATAAAAGGAGATGCAGTACAGTAAAGTTTCCCTAAAAAGTATGACAATATAGTGAGATCTAACAAAGATATAGTTTAAAATTGTATCATATAACCATTAAGTATTTTTTCATACACTAACATAAACTATTATATTTTTTCCTAAGGCCATGTTTGATAGTTTGTATTGTATTGTATAGGAGTATTTTATTGTGTTATAATATCATAATACAATACGGTATTTAGTATCATGATGTATTGCACAAGGGGTTAAAATGTAAAATTTTTTAAATTTTGGGGTCAAAATAGTTTTCAAAAATTTTAAGGTTAAAAAATAATTTTTCAAAAGTTTTAGGGTTAAATGTAATTTTATAAAAAAAATTTAGGATTGGAATGTAATTTTACAAAAAAAAAAAAAGAATCAAAATGTAAATTCTAAAAATTGAAGTGTCAAAATGTATTTAGAAAATATAAATTTGTATTATGCCCCTCAATTTTTAAACAATTATAGGATCTGATAATATGACTCTATGTCAGTCCGGCCCCAATCTCTAGTCATGTCCATAGATCCACTATAAAATAATATAATATAATACATTAAAAATGAGCCATATTCAATAACACAATATAGACCGTATTAATTACATTCCGTATTAGTTAATACTATACGATGGTCACACCAAACATTATATTAATGTCTTATTGTATAATACCGTGCTCTAATACGATCAAACAAACATGCTCTAAGACAATTGCTAGGTTCTTCTTTTTTCGAGAAAATTGTTGAACTTACTTTTAAAGTGCATGAGTCTGATTTGTACTATTTACTCTTGATTAAATACCTTTTTAACTAGTACAATTATTTGACTAAAAATAATATTAATTAAGAATATAAATAAATTTTCAGACCCATACACTTTAAGAAATATTTGTTTTTTCATTGAAATTTCTATTGTTTAAAGTCTAATTAGAAATTTACTTATTATGTATTTTTTTATTAGTTTCTTTTGGTGAATATTTTTTTATCAATTACTTCTTCTTTTATCCTTATTTTTATATCAAATTTTGGCAATTAGTGTTTTCAAAATGAATAAAAGTATTGAGTCCACTTAGATCTTATTTCATAATCGTGAATGTTTTGTTAATAGTGGTAACTTATTTAGGTTTATCATTTTTATGTGTATCTTAAATGGTTTCATGTTAGATCTGTAACTTTTGGGTGTTTGAGAGATTTTAGACGGGTTGAGATTGACACCAACAACATGTTCGTTAAAATAAATAATAATAAAAAAACACTATATTCGTTATTTTATCAATAAAAAAACCTTGTACTAAAGGCAGGGACATTTTCAAAGAGCCAAAATTTTAATTTTTGTGGACATGATTTACATGCACGCCAATATTAAAGAGTTTATCCCCTGAAAAATAAAATAAAAAAACAGTGCCCAAAAATATCATTCCGTTGGTTGTAACAGATCTCTCTCTCTCTCTGCGTTTTTTTTTTTTTTTTTTTTATTACAACAGATCTTTTGTTTTATCAATGATTGATATTTCTAAAATTATAATTGTAATATTTCTTCTAATCGAATGAAATTGTTGTCTTTATTAAAGAAAGACCTAAAAAAACTCATTTGTAATTGTTTTTTTTGTTGCTTGAAACACATTAACAGCAGTAATTATTAGTGATGTTTTATGTTTTTCTTCACAATGCCTTAGAAAAGGACGACGCCTTCTAATTTCTAATAGTAAATCCCATACATATAATTAAAAGATTTTATTTACTAATGGTCGCATTAGTGGTATATCCATATCTCTACCTATAATGTTGAGGTCATGAATTGAAATCCTCCCTTATCCAAAATTGTTTACTAATGGTCGCATTATTAGTGATGTTATATATATATATTTTCCTTCTTTTCCATCTTCCTAAATATGCACGTGAAGACTTCAATCGGGTAAATTATGTTTGGTAAGAAAAGTTGTGAGGTTATTGCAGTTAGATTTTTTTGACATTTAATGCAATGAATTAAGACTGTTAAAGTCCTCGGCATTTCTTTTTCTTTAGAAGTTCTTTTGATTTAAATATTTTCACTGCCTTCTAAAATAAGTTGGGCTCATCTTACTTTGTAGTTTATTGTAAATGGGGAATTTTATTAAGAGGTAAACAATTTTCTCTCTTTCTTTTTCACTCTGCTTGTGTCTCCCATCATGTTTGTAAATGGCGTGGTGTATGTTTTTTAGTTAGAGTTCTCTCTATGTCGTGATGTGATTTTCCCTGTTGCGCGGAGTTTGGTCTTGGTCGATTAGGCTACTTTTTGGTGATGTTTAAAGAGTAATGATCAAGCTCGAATTTATGTGTCTAGCGGGTGGTCTTTCCCCATTTAAGTCTTGGTGCTTGTATTCACCTTTGTGTTATTTTTGTCTTTATTGACGGATCTAGTCATTCGTTCGGGTTTGAATTCCTTTGTATTTGGGGCCATTCGTGTCTTGTATAATTTGTTTCTTGTGAAATGAAATTTCTCATTTAAGAAAAAAAGGAAGAATTTTATTTACACCCTAAGTTGACACCCCTAAAATGTTTAAAATTTAAAATTATTTTCCTTTTAATATTAAAATCTAATATAATTACAAAATTACCCTTATATAAATCCATGCTTAAACCAATTTGTTGAAAATATTTTATTTTTCTTTTTATTGTTAGAGCTAAAATGTCACTATACTTAAAACATTTTTATTGTTAGAACTAAAACAGTTTGAAATTTAAGTATAGTGACATTTTATTTTATTTTATTATCATTATTATTTTTTTGAGAAAGTGGTTTATGAGCTTTAACTTTTGGCATTTTTTTTCATATTTTAATTCTAACAATAAAATTGATGACTAATTTATGAAATTTAACAAAGATGATTTTGTGCCCTTCGCATAGCAACTTAAAACTTTAAATGTCATGTGCAACATTTTCTCTTCGTTACTATTAATTAAAAGTTGTTGAAAACTATAACATTTTACAGTTATTATAATTATTTATGTGAAGTTTTTCTTTACTATGTGATAAAGATGTGATTATTTACATTAAATTTTAGAAATCATTCATCAATTTTAGTGTCAGAGACCGAAGCTCTCAAAACCTGAAAGTTTAAGGATTAATATTCTAAATTAAAAGTTTAGAAACCAAAATATCATTATGCTCAAAGTTTAAGTGCTAATAAGCCTAAAAGTTATTTTACCATGTTGATATAATAGCTGTTTTTTTTTTTTTTTTTAATAAAAACTCTTAAATTAAAAACTGTAGTGGATCAAATGATGGTTTAGTTTAGAATTAAAAAAATTTAAATTCGATTTTGTTTGATCTAAAGTGATCATATTATGGCGTTCAAAGTTCTATTAATTTGGATAAGTTTTTCTTTGGTAAAGATAATTTGGATAAGATCACACTTCAAGAAAGTGCGAATTAGATTTTACTACACATAATACACCGGTTGTGATAGTAACTTGGTATTAGCATTATGGAAAATATTATTAGGTCATGGGTCAAAAAGTGAGTGCTGCTTCCTATCTATATCAAATAAGTTTGAATAATCATATTTAAGAAAAATGTTTTCCCACCTATGCAAAATAACGGATGGGGGAAGACACTATTGTGCGATGTTTCCAAAAAAATCACATACAAACAGTGGCGGAACCAGGACTTATTAGTAAAAGGGGTCAATTTTTTATTATCATGATTATACTAATACTTATTCAATTAATAAAATTGAATATTTTATTTTTTAAAATCTAAATGGTTAGCCTAATAAAATGTACATAATTATTAATTTATAAGGAGACGAGTTTAATTTATACACATATCTATTATATTAAAATTAAAATAATTATATTAAAAAAAAGAAAAAAAAAGCTATGGGGGCATGGCCCCCCGCCCCCTAACTCCGTCATTACATGCAAACGATACTTAACTAACCCATTTTGTTTTAAAATAACGTACGAGCGAAGACGACACCTAAATTTATAAACGCCGTTTATCTATCTATATCTATAAGTTTTAATTATTATCTATTGCTTATATCTATATATATATATATTTATATCTATAATCTATAATCTATAATTATATAGAAGTGAGCCGCAATCTCCTTTTTTTTTCCCTTCCCTTTTTTCTTTTTCCATGTTTCTTCTTTTAATTTTCCCCTTCCCTTTTTGTTTTTTTTTTCTCTATTACTTTTGTTTTCTTTTTCCTCCAAAAATCCTATATATATATATGTGTGTTTTTAAAGTTGATTACAAATATATATATATATATATATATATATATATAT